ATCAATGGATCTGTGCAATGGGAATCGGATCGTGATGAGATCACGATAATGAGACCAATTCGCCTTTAAACACAAACCCTAAATAATCCTGGTCATAGGTTACTCGAGAAGGACATCGAGATAAACGGACAGACCGGTGTACCATATACCCGTCCATATGATGGAGGCAACTGGTCTCATAACTGCTTATATAAAGACACTAGGGATACAGTATAGATGTTCATTGGAAAATGAGTTCACTGATTGATCCACTCACGGAATACTAGATGGTTGATGATGCCTTATTGTCAGACAGTAATTTCGTCGTCTCAGTGATGTATCTGGTCCTTAAACTTGAAATAACAAAAATATCCTATATGAGTACTCCGCTCTTTGATACCAAACTTATAGGCCTGAAAGTTTCAGATCTAGTATAGCCGATCATCGGGAGTAGCAGCCAACCTTATGAGGACTATTAAGTGTCGATAGAGGATCATCCACTCTCGGTGTCATGAGAGGAATATCTCATGTGTTCTTGCTCGGACAAATCTCTGACCAAGGTCATTCGAATTGAGAAAGAAAGAGTTCTCCGAGAAAATCCGATTAGAGCGGGAGTCAAGTAGAAACTGTCTGGGCCTAGCAGTATCATGCCCAGTATACGATCTCTAGGGTATTAGATGGATGAGGGACTATAGATACACGGTAACTGAAGACATACAGGTCCAATAGATTGGATTCCTCTGTATCGTCTGGGGACTGCAGCGTAGTGGCCTAGTATATCTGCAATCGATAAGTCGAGTAAATTATTATCTTATGAAGATAATAATTCACCTAGCCAGAAGAAGTTCTGATAGGTATAACGCACGGCCAGCTCGATGTTGGGCCTAGAACGTCACACACATATGGTAGGCATTGCGATGAGTAAAGGTTCGGATATAAGATATCCGCCGGAGCCCATATCTTATTGGATATCCAATGAGCCCCTAAATTATTGGATCCTATGGATGAGATCCAATAAGAGCCAATGAGAGATTATTTGATAGAGATCTATTAATTTAAGAGGCCTGGGTAGTTGAATAAAGATCCAATACCCAATAGAGCATGATCCATTAGGGTTAAGTAGTCTATAAATATGAGGGAACCAAAGACCCATAAGCTAGAGGCTTCTTGATTACCACCTCTTATTCGCCTCTCCCCTTCTCCTCAGATAGCAGGTGTAGAGATTTGGGTAGTGATTGAGGAGCGTCGTTGCAACCCTATTGTGTGTATCACCGCTAGAGAGGAGGGCACTTAAACTCCTTCATCCAATCCCATAGATCTACAGGAATTCAGAGATATACGATCTCCCTAGGTAAAATACTATCTCACACGTGGATTTAAGTTTTACGAGTTTTTGCGCATCAATCTTCGCACAACGATGAACACCTTTTTGGAAAATTTGGAGTTTTTGTTTTCTTTTCTTCTGCTGCGCATATCATGCCGCCCCTAGATTTCCCTACAAGTATGCGTAGTGGGCTTAAAGTGGTGTAAACCTCTAAAGTAACAAAGTTTAATGTCACCTTTTGAAAAAAGTTGATCATCATTCAAGACTGTCCTTAACTATAGATCAATCAAGAAACACATTTTCAGTATCATAAGGCACCATAAAATAGTTGACCATAATTTTTTTATCAACTGACAACCTAGCAACTATGTGCCAAAGCTGGCACCGGGTTCATAATAAATACTTAAATTACCTATTAACATCTAGGAAAATATATCTTTGAAAATTAAGCTCAATAACCAAATGAAAAGAGACTATGACAAAGAAAAGATGAAAATTCGTCTCAAGAAACAAATGCCAAAGAGGTAACAGAATAAACCCCATCTGATAAGAGACATACATAATATTAAATAGCATGTTGCTTAGCAAAAACAGGCAAAATGTGGTAGTAAAGAAGCTACTGCTTTCAGCAAAATATGAGCTACTAAAAATAAATAGTGAAATTTTTATTTTAGAAGTTTCTCATAATACAAGACGCAGCAACAAAAGACTACATCTAAGCACCTAGTAGTGCATTTGTCAACAGAAATCAGCTAGGAATAGTAAGCCCAACTTCTAATATATCAAGGTATCACCTACGAAAACATATGCAGAAACTAGTAATATTTACCATAGGCAGGTGATATTTGTTTCATTTGTCCTCGTCAGTAATTAAGCAAACAAAAACACCCAAGTGATTTCTAATTTTCTATAATTTGGTCATGCAAAGGAACATTTGTCATAGAATAAGTAGATAATAAAAGGACATGCCAAATAAATGAGACAAAGGATGAGTTTCATACAGGAAGCGGAGCTGCGCGAGGTTCCCCAGTGTTTCAGGTATTACACCAGTGAAATTGTTCAAGTACAGATCTAAGCTCACAAGGTTTGTCAGATTCCCAAGTTCAACAGGTATTGTCCCACTAATGTTATTACTGTAGATTTCCCTGTCATGAATGTTTCTGATCAAAAACAATAAGCCAGAAATTCCTAAAATAGGTAATCTAAGGTTCTTACTGAGAGCAGTGCTCAACATATTATATTAGTTTTTACCATCAGAATATTATAAAGGTACCACCTGAAGCAATGTTGAGCTATTACAATATGAAAACAAAGTTGCAAAACAATGTGAAACTTGAAAGAGAAATTCTTTATGCCATGTGCCCCGCTTGTACATTTCATACTGATTTTAAGCTTTTCTGACAATAAATCAAGAAAAATATAGGTTCCAGTATCACTGTTATCAATCTGTGTCCAGATGTGGTGATGAACCCAAAGTTAAAAATGCATTTGTGTCAGCAATGCACGTATCAGCAGTTTGTGATTCAGTTATTGGACTGGTAAAGATTTTGCCCCAGAAAAGATCCAGTTGATGGCATTTAAAGCAATTGAGATGACCAGCATTTGGAGTTTTATGAATTAAGGTTTGAGATGACTAATACTTTCAAAGTTCAGATATCAAGGTTCAAAAGTACACTTCTTATCTCAATTGCCTCTAAGAGGTGGCAAAGAACTGTCCATCATTCCACTTAACGAAATAAGAGCAGCCAATGATTTTCTGTCAATGATAAGGATGACAGAAGAAAGCAACATATGTATGTTTCCCCTTGTTGCTCAATTTATCAAACATTTTTTACTTTTTTGTTCCAAGCAACTGCATTCAAGCAGCTACAGGCATGAAACAAACAAACAGAGCTTAAATCCTTGAATACCACATTAAACTCTGGTCATAACAGCAAACCATATTAAGGAAACTCTTGAAGATATGCAATTTTGGTGAAATGCATTAAACTGGTAAAAATTTATAGACTATACAGATGAAATTAGCACCTGAGTAAATAGCCATCAATTAAAAAGCAAGTTCTTCCAAATTTATTTGGGCCAACTTCAAAACTTCAATCCTCAACCATCCTGCGAAATCATCATTTTCTCCAAAATGAGCTTTCCACTTCATTGTTCTATGAAAATGACAGATATTATACAATATATGTGGTCTCTATGAATCCAGCTTCAATCAATATCCATGTCCATTTTTTGTTGTCACTTTCAAATTGGGACCAAATCTTCCTTCATTCTGTTTTTAATTAGAACCAATAATGAATTAGATTGTCATCTATCTATGGATTTCATTAGTCATATCCAGTGACAATTACAACAACAAAGCCATAAGTCCCAACCATTTGGGATCGACTACATGGATCTTTTACTACCATTGAGATCTGTAAAAAGTCATATGTTTAGTTAAGTTTAGAGTACTTACATCTTTATTTATAATATCTATTAAATTTTTTTAGGTCTTCCTCTACCTTTTTCTCATACCACTAACATTAATTATTTCACCACTTTTGACTACCGCATTTGGAGATCTCCTAAACACATACCTATACCATCTTAAACAATTTTCTATCACCTTATTCTCTATCGAAGCGATCCAATGACAGTTATAAGACATAAATTTAGATCAGGTATAAGCATGAAACAGGCCAACCCATTACCAACTCTACCCATATCTATGAAAAGAATGGAAAGAAGTTTGTTGAAGCAAATTCAAGGGTCAAGGGAACTCATTGTTTTCAGATAAAATGTCAAATTCTCAAAGGTTGGATGATTTTTGGAATGATAAGTATCAAATTTGACCTTCTATTAAATCAATATTAAGACAAACTTTGACCACCTGGTAATTTAGACCAAGGTTCGCAATACCGTACCGTACCGGTATTTCGACCTGGGCTCGGTATCGGTACGGTACGGTATACCGAGCGGTACACCCAGGTGTGCCGAGTACAGTGCACTGCTACAGTGCTACAGTGCACTCGGACCGATAATAGGTGGTCCGCGTACCGACAACCTGTTGGACCGGTACGTACCACCCGTACCGGGCGGTACAGTTCGGTACAGCAGACCCTGATTTAGACAAGCAATTTAGCATGGCTTATACGATACAGAACCAATATGAGAAATTCCTGCTTTATGCATTATTAACAGAACAAATAGAGAAATCAAAATATCACTATAATATAAGACATTTAAGAACTTAAAAATTTTAATAAGCAATTAGTTATGGAGTTTGCATAAGACTTAGAATATGCCTGAAAAGCTCTTGTTTTATGCATTACTGAAAGAAAAAAATAAAATTGTTTCTAATCTTTATTTAGTGCAGGATCAAGCATTGGCGACCATTATCATTTGTCACTGCATCATTCACTCCCACAAGTTCAAACTCATATCCAGTTCTTCAAATTTGAAAACAAATGCTTCAATTGTCATCCAACCAATCATTTGATGGTGAAGATCATGTAATAAAAATCTTAAATACACACAAAACTTCTTATGACATGACTCTTGGATTTTGTCTGATTCTTAAAGGTTAGCTCGCCGAATCGAACATCCCATACTGAAAAGCCGCTGATACTTTGGAGTGATTCATAATTAGTTGATTTAGCTGCTAAAACAACTAATCACAACCGTAAAGAGAAACTTGGAGATTTTGGGATTAGAAAGAACATATCTAGATGAGGATTAGCTTAATCATAAAACCATGTAATAAACTAAGTCCTACCATCATATCATAATTTTGTTCAGCGCAAAAGATAAGCTCCTATTCAAACAAGAAGGATAGTTATGGCTCAAACAATGATTAACCAATTATTGATGGTATTGAAGGTTCAATTCATGCTAACTTCTACAATCTGCACATTACTAATGCATCTCCTAGCATAACCATTATGAATTGACTTTAGAAACATTAGGTATGTCAAAAAAAAAAAGACCATGTAAAAGTTCCTGTTGATCAACTAGGTGGAATGTAGGACATCATACAATACATCAATTTTTCTAGAACTGCTCGGATGATCCAAAGAACCTGTTATTTGAGAGTCCACCTGCAAAATGAAGGAGTTTTTGGAAGAGGAGGAGATGAAGAAACGGGACAAGAAGAGAAGAGGAATTTTGGCTCAAGGGCTCCCAAATTGGTCCGTCTTCATCCTGTAGCAAAAGAAGATCTCTCTCTCTCTCTCTCTCTCTCTCTCTCTCTCTTCTGTTTTATTTCCCATCAATACCAGGAGGCATATTGATCAGTATTATAGTACTAACATCACATCAGTCCAATGAAAGGTGGAATTTCTATACAGATTAGCATTCAAACCCTGCCAGACACAAAATATCACTTTGATTTGACTAGGTTAACGAAAACTAGAGATAGATGACCTACACTCTAGGATAGTTAAATATAGTTGCTAAAGAAAAAGATGTGAAATGTCCTGCCAATATTCCATGGAAGGAATCTTCAAACTGAATATAAACATTGGAGTTCAAGTTACAGAGCGACCGCCAAGTTCCTTTTCTTTGAGTATCTGAAAAATTGCACCTAAAGATTTTCTCTGTCTCCATTGAGAATTTCAAATTATCAATGTAGTCAACCAGTAGCACTATTTATGGTATATTACTATGTAAAGCTGCTACATTGATCGTTCAGAAGAAAAAATAATGAGAGATTTGAACAAACATCAAGAACTTACAGGTACTGCAGATTTTTTAGTTGACCAAGTTGAGGAACCAGTTGACCAGATAATGCTGCATTTCCAAGATCACTGAAAGAAGTTCACACAAGCATCATGCTACAGATGAGGATAACGATTGTTCCACGGTGCTATATGTCGAGTAATTGTTTACTTACACTCTGATAACACTATTTTCATTGTTACATGTAACATGAAACCATGTACATGGATTGACAAGAGTTGGATCCCAACTCTGCAAAACATTGTTTGGATCATTGAGGTTTGTCCTTAAACTATGTAATGCATCACCTGTTGAAGAAGAACACAAAACATTAGGAACTAGTATGAAAGCATACAAAGACCATATTGGGAAGGCTAGTAAAAAAGATCAAGCATTGGAAAACTAGAACTAAACAATCTTTAACAATGAACAAGCAGATAACTCATGCTGGAGATTTTCTGCTCATTCTGGTTTAGTTAGGAAAGGAGGAAGTTGATCAAGTCTTTTACTACAGGTAATAAATTTAGATATTTTATTTATAATATTATTTGATGCACATGTGTTATTAATCTTATTATATGGGTTAACAAAGAAAAGCCTATTTTACATTTACCTTTTTTCAATTAACGTATTACCTTTAAAAGATGACTAGGCAGCTTAATTAACATGTTTATCAGCAGAACCAGGTCGATATCACGAATTGACATTATAAAGCAAAACTATTATCACAGCACATCTTATCTATGAGGTTCAATGAATCTGAAATCCTAGTAGGAAGTGACAGTTAAGTAAAGATCTAGAATAGCAAGCAACAGATACATGTGACACCATACGCATGGATAGAGATGCCTCCTCATGAAGCCATATTCCTTGAATCTGCAGTCTTCTGCATCCTAAAGGTAAACGCACGACAAACTTGACTGGGTCAGGAAACTACTATTACTGGATCAAGCCAAAGTAGGAAAACCTCGAGCCAATTCCACGTCACATTGCTTGAATGAAGCATGAAAAAATATAATATCCAATAGTTCACCTTACCAATATGCAGGAAGAAAAGGACAAGATATATATGCACCTAATTCATACCAAAACAAGCTAAAACTGTCGCTCCCATCACTAATAAGAGATATGATTCCATTGCAACAGCAGAGCGCTTGCAACGAGAAAATCATACGCCTCAGCTAATAAGCATCAAAATCCAAACATGAGAGAAAGATCATACCTTCCAGGTTCGCGAGAACCCTAGACAGAGGGCGGAACACCAGCAATAGCCTTAGAACCCAAGGGATCACGACTCCACACTCCATCGTCAACATTCCTCCACGGCAGTTCCGGCCCTATTCGAGATCCGTCGGAAGAACCCTAACCCCTTACCCCACAAGATAGCTCAAATCCCCCACCATTTCCGAAGAAGAAACCATCAATCTGATATCAAATCAACCACATGGCAAAGAAACTGGAGACTCGACGAGGATCCAAGGCCGACTTCATAGCAGCACCGCCCCCTTCCCTTCTCTCTCCCTCTCCCCACTCCCACCTCTGCTGAGAGCATCCATATATGTGTATCGAAAACACTTCACCAACCCGTTGCCGACGTACCCGCATCACCAACCCGCCTCGTTAGGAGATGAAATGAGTTGAGGGTTATAAAATGCCACTGCTAACTACAGCACAGTGCAGGTATACGGGAAGGGTGACGAACTATAGAGTACAAGAGACGATTGCTCTTTTGTTGGCTTTGTAATAGCAAGTCCAAGAAGACAGTACCGTTGAACGGGGAGAGAGCAGCTGAGGGATTCCGACACGGTTCAGCCTTTTGATTGGTCTCATGTTGAAAGCGCATCAACATAAGTTTTGACACGTATGATGAAAAAGCTGTTTTGTATTCCGAGTAACACAGGAGAACTGGCACTTCTGGGCACGTGTGGTTCGGTCAATCCCCGCCTCCTGTGACAGGGATTTTCCGTTCCGACAAGGACGTGTATTCGAAATCATATTGTATGATGACAACGACGGGAGCGTGTCGGAGGGCGACTTTTCCCTGCTATGTAACGGGCCGATACGAAATGAGAAATTTTTTAGAATTTACATAACCTATATCTCTCTCTCTCTGGAGATAGATAGATAGATAGATAGATAGATAGATAGATGGATAGATAAATAGAAAAAAAATATTTTTTATTTCTAAATGATCTTATAATTGTGTTGGATGATATGAGATAATTAGTTTTAAATAAAATAATTAGATATAAATTATTTATAAATAATAATTTGATTGATAAGGATCTTGATAGACCGATCATAAGTCCAAGATTAAATTTCGATCTTTTTATCACTTTATTTATTTATTAAAAATAAATATAAATAATTTATTAACTAAGGATATTATTTAGACAATTAACCCGAAGATCTACTCGTAATCAAGTTTTTACCGAGATCGTAACACTTATTAATTTTTTATTACGTGATTGGTGGAATTTTAAGTGTGAGGTTAAGATAAAAGTAGATTTAGTGTGAATCAACCAAGACGAGTGGAGTAAACAAGATCAAATCGGAACGATATGGTCTTCTCACACACAAGCCCTTTCTGCTTTCCTTTTTCTTTTTCTTTTTTTTCCCAAACTTTTTCTTATTTTTCTTCTTCTCTCACATAAATAGATCAATTCTAATTTTTCATTTTTTTTTAATAAATAGAGTGATCTCAAACCCTTAATCTTTGATAAGTTAATCTTATACATCATTAACAGATAAAATTTTAAAAGTATAAAAAATATATTAAATAAATTTTTAAAATATTTAAACTTTGATAAATAGATCTGATACATCACAACCAAATTAATGTTTTAGATATAATCAAATTAGTTTTTATCCAAATCATTAATTTTTCTTTTTTTCTTCTCTTTTCACATCCCTTTGTTTATTTCATTCCCTCAATGGCTTGCTCATGTTCTCCCTTTCCTTTCTCCATATATTTTTCTTTGTAGGCTAAATGAAACAAATATTCTTTTTTCCATAATTTACGTTACGTTGCATTTGCTCCATCAATCCACTAAATTTGAATGGAAAAGTCCTTCAAGTACAATAAGTGTTCGATTAAAAACCTAATTTTCTTTTTTTAGTTATCAAAAAAATCCACTTAATAATAATTTGTATTATAGTCAATAGAAGAATTAATCTAAAAAAGCATTAAATTTGATTTTAAAAATACCTTTAAAATCATCAAACATTAGAAAAGTCATTCTAATCAGAATTTAGATCATATATTTTTTAAAAAATAAAAAGATTATTACATCAAATGACATACTTAATACTCATAAGTAGATTCAAACTTAAGACTTTTTATTTGTGCAATATTGCATCAACTCAGATGTAATATTTTACTCAAACTTCAAATTATTACATCGACTCGGATGTTTCAACAAAGATAGATCAAATATTCTTATTATGGTGAACGACTACAATGATTTGGACAAAATTAATGATAATATTACACTTGAAATATTACAGTCAATTGTAATACCAACAAAAAAAAAAACAAGAGAAATCTAACTAAAAACCCACCAAAAACTTATATAAATTAATGAATTTACTATTTATATCATATCTACATGTGTGGTGCAACTTTGAAATGATTTGGATTAATTTGATATTATTATACTCGAAAATAAACATCAAACATAATCAGATTATGGGATGGGACATTGGAGTAGGGGAAAGAGACACTAGAATAGAGGAGGAAGCATGTAAAAGACCTCCATCGGAGTATTCTAGAATTTCTAGAATAGACTAGAATAGACTATATATATATATATATATATATATATATATATATATATATATATATATATATATATATATATATATATATATATATACATTAATAGAAAAGGATATCTCTCGCTCTTTTATTATGTTATCAACAAAAATATAGTGCGAAAGTGGGCAAACTTGAAATGTG